CGAGTCATGTTGCTTTGTATGATGTGATTGACTCTGTCTACATATAGGGTTGACGATTGGATCTGTAAAATATTTCTGAAAGTTGTCTTGTATGTGTTCTCGATTTTAATATAAAAGTCGCTCTTTCGTGATTAAAAAACTTTTTTATGTTTACTAATATGTAATTAAATATAATTATTATTAAAGTTATGCGTTGACAAACGTGAAAGTCAAAATGTTTCAACTTTTAAAAAACGGAGGATAGTATGTTGAAACTTTTTTACTAGTCGCATAATTAATTATTTTTTATTTTATGCCTTAAATTATACTTCTTTCGTTTCGCACCAAATTGACTTTTTTATATATGGTGGTCAATTTGAAAAATGATATTTTGTAACAATTATTTTGAATATGAAAGTTATATTTAAATGCTTCTTATTCAAAATATTTTCATAAGTATAAAAATTATTCAAAATTATAAATTTTATTCAAATATACTACGTAATATATATTAATTAAAATCATTTCTCAAAGATTCTCATCAATGATCAAGAAAAGTCAATTTGTCAAATCCTTTCAAAACTTAAACAATCTTAACAAATTCAACCATACCACCAATTTTAGTATAACGAATCCAGTTCTATATTTAGGAAAAACTGATATAGTTATACTTAAGTCCGTTTTGTAACACTGAAATCAGCTAAATCGATTGATTCTGCCGAAATTTATGAAGTTCTGGATGAAATGGTTGTATTGGTTGATTCTGCTGATTTATGAAAAACTTAAATTTAAAATATAGTTTATTAATAACATAAATAAAAAATTATATGTAAAAATAGCTAAAATGGTCTTCTACGGTAACTTCAACCGATATAACCAGAAAAGTAACTTCAACCTTATTTTTTCTTATTATTACACACCCGCACTCAAAATCAAAAGTTACGTGTTTGATAAAAAAAGTGGGCTGATAAGACTGATAAGACGTAAAACATGATTACCGGGCTCATAATATTAATAAAAACATGGTGGGATTCGAGTGCTTATACCGTGCAACCGGTATACGGTGAGCACCGTATACCGGTACGGTTTTTTTTTGTTTTTTTCCTTTTGTTTTTAAAAAATGGTAATAACTTTTTTATTTTTGATCCGATTTTTATAAAATTTATATCAACATTTTTTATTTTTCATGATCTTTCAAATGAGACCAATATTGCCTATGTAATTTTAACATATTACCATTTGCGTGTAAAATATGTAACTTTACGTGTTAAAATATGTAACTCACGTTCAGTCAGGCCAAATGCAACTCATGTGTATAAATATGTATCTCTACGTGTAACAATATGTAACTTTACGTAAAAAAATATGTAACTCGCGTTGAGACAGGTCAAATGCAACTCGTGTGTATAAATATGTAACTCGCGTGTATAAATATGTAACTTTACGTGTAAAAATATGTAACTTTACGTGTAAATATATGTAAGTCGCGTTCAAGCATGTCAAATGCAACTCGTGTTTATATATATGTAACCCGCTTTTAAAAAGATGTAACTTGCTTATAAAAAGATGTAACTTGCTTATAAAAAGATGTAACTTGCTTATAAAAAGATGTAACTCGCTCATAAAAAGATGTAACTCAATGTATTATCAAATGTAACTGAGGCCACTGATCCACTCCCAAACAGATTCGATCTTCTATTTCACAAACCTATCATCTCCCAAACAGATTCGATTTTCCTAATAATCCAATACTCAATAATATAATAGTTCGATAATTTATTAAAATTACATAAGCAATATTGGTCTCATTTGAAAGATCATGAAAAATAAAAAATGTTGATATAAATTTTATAAAAATCGGATCAAAAATAAAAAAGTTATTATCTTTTTTTAACAACAAAGCAAAAAAAAAAAAAGAGTCAAGCTGCGTCGTTTTGCAACCGGGCGCACCATCCTCATGGTGCGCCGGTTGCACCGTATAATCTGCGGTGGGATTCGGTGTCTCGATCGATCTAAAGCATTGCCACTTGCCAGGGGCATTATTATTGATGATCATGTAGAAACTTTGCACGGTGGGGAAGCTGACTTAATCAGCAACGACCGTCGGGGGGAAAGGATGGATTTACGGGATTTTGATGCCTCCATTCCCAAAATACGAATGTCAGCATTAGGTTACCAATTTACGGGAAACGGAGTTGGCAAATCCGACTTTTCCTAGGGTTTTCCTAGGGTTTGCAGAGCTGTCAGCATCCCTATTTTCGGATTCTCCTAATCCGACTTTGGGTTTTATTTTCAAGGAAAAACGGATTTGGTGAATCCGAAAAGTTCAAAACCCAAAAAAAAGAAATCGGATGTCAGGTGTGAAAAGCCGTGTGTCAGTAGGCAAAGATATTCGGATTTGCCTAATCCGAAATATGAAGCTCCCGGATTGGCCAATCCAAGTTCTCCCGGATCGTGCTTCTTCAGCTCATTTTTCAACCGTAGGATTTAACAAACTCATCCCAACTGTCCATTGTTTTACACGGAAATCCATACTCCCAATCTCAAACTTCACCTATTTAAATCACTTCAACATCATATTCAGCCTACTACCATAAAAATAAATTTAGTTAAAAAAAACTATCGAGTGTTCTTGCTAATTCTATTCTCCGAGTTTTTCAAAGAAAGGTTAGAATTTTAATTATATATTTACTCTTTACCGTTAATTTTTTGTACTGGTTGTGTTATGTCAGCCTGAATATTTCGAAAATCTTAATATTAATATGTAATTAATCTTAATTGCTATTAAGATTGTTGATATATGTCATACTAAATATATAACAATAGAAATAATTAGCCCACAACTTATAATTATTTGTAGTATTTCCTTTACAGTAGTTAATTTATGTTGATAATGTAAGCACATTTACTGTTTTTCAATTACTCTAATTATTGGTTCACTAATATTTTTTACTAATGTATTAAATACTTCCACCGTCCCATAAAATTCTTCCCACTTTTTTTTTGGACCGTCCCAAAAAATTCTTCCCACTTACCATTTTTGGACAATTTGTGTGGTTCACATTAATTTGATCTTTTTCTTACACAACTACAATCACACTTAAAGTGTGAAGAATTTTCTAGGACAGAGGGAGTACTAAATTAGTGTATATGGTAATTTGAGACTACGTTGCGATTACAATTTAAATTTAGTTTAGTTAGTTGAACATTTTAATTTAGTCATCACTACTTATTTCCAAATAACATTAACATTATACTACGTAATATAATATAGTTCATACTCCGTAACATTTATTATAATTGAGCCATAAAAGCGAACATCAATTATAATTACACTATACCGGTAAAAATTTCACAAGCTCGTCTAGACTAGTCCTTTTCTAGTTTCTGGCAAATGTTATGTCTAGAACTAGTCCTTTTCTAGTTTCTGGCACAGTGAAAATATTACTCAATGACAAGTCTAAAATTTGTATCGGTACATATAATATAATTGCACTATACTGGTACGATTTTCACAAGCTCGTCTAGAACTAGTCCTTTTCTAGTTTCTGGCAAATGTTATGTCTAGAACTAGTCCTTTTCTAGTTTCTGGCACAGTGAGAATATTACTCAGTGACAAGTCTAAAATTTGTAATTGTACATATAATATAATTGCACTATACTGGTACGATTTTCACAAGCTCGTCTAGAACTAGTCCTTTTCTAGTTTCTGGCAAACGTTATGTCTAGAACTAGTCCTTTTCTAGTTTCTGGCACAGTGAGAATATTACTCAGTGGCAAGTCTAAAATTTGTATGGGAACATATAATATAATTGCACTATACTGGTACAATTTTCACAAGCTCGTCTAGAACTAGTTCTTTTCTAGTTTCTGACACGGTGGTAATATTGTTCAGTGGATAAGCCCATTATCAACCGTACATATATTATAATGTAATACATAAGACTGATATAGTTTCATTGAAAGTTTATGTGTAATTTATAATTTCATTTAATAAAACACGTCATTATAATATACATACACACACATATATAACACTAATATATGATTCTTATTGTCAGTTGAGATACGAATGGCTGCACAAATACCACTTATGGACCCGGTTGATCGGTCTGTGTTGGTGATGCCACGTTACGCGCATCGAGCGAACCTTGTCTGGAATGATGCTACATCCATGGATGACAAGTTGAGGTGTAATGTATATTGTTCAATGGTGTACAAAGATGGCCCACGTCACCCAGGAGTGGTAGCGTTGCTGAAGGCCTCCGGCTTTTACGGCGTCGACTGCATCGGAAGGTTGCAGTTAGACTGGTCGCTTATTACGGCGTTGGTTGAGCGATGGAGACCAGAGACACACGCTTTTCATTTGCCTTTTGGTGAGGTGGGCATCACCTTACAGGACGTAGAAGTGTTGTTGGGGTTGCCCATCGACGGAGAACCACTGTCAGGACCTAAGACAAACTCGAAAGCACTTTGGATGCAAATGTGCACGGACTTCGCCGGTTTCACGCCAAACAACAACGACTTAAACACATCTGTAATAAGAATGAATGCCCTACAGCGTTGGCCGGTACATCAGCACAGCACAAATGAGGAACTCATCACATACACGAGGGTGCTCATTTGGCAACTAAATAATATCATTTTAGTTTAATAGAAAATAAATATGTTTTTGAATTAACTTCAAATAATATTGATCCAGTTCGTGTGGCGCCCATACGCATTACAAGCCCTCCCCAGGTTCTGCGTCGCGGGAGTAGATTTGTGGACATCTAATGTCATGCTTATATATTGTGACATTTCTGAGATGTACTACCCCGGTAGATTTTGTCGTCAATTCGGTGCAATGCAACATATTCCTCCCGCAGCGGAATCACAAGCTAGCCACCATGCAAGTGGTGCAAAAAATTCCGGATGGCCATTGACACTATGGGCGGCGAGGCGCAATCGTCGTATCGCATTTGAGTTCGTTGATCATCCCACCTACACTCCTGCGTACCGTGAATGGTACGCAAATGTCGGGAAACGACGAATTTGCAATCCGTTACATGGTCGACCTACAACGGGTTATGTAACTACTAACAGGGAGACAAGTACACTAGTAAGTATTTTATGTGTAATTATTCAACTTAGAAATGTTTATTATTATTTAATAACTTTACTTTTGAATTTTAGATGCAATGTATGGGCGATATCTATCGGCGCATGGCAGCTCCATTTGACGTCGAAGACATTCGCGAGCAAATTGCACGATGCCTTACAGGATTAGGTGCCGAGAATGTGCTTCATCAAGACATCATTTTCTATGGGGATGCCCATGATGATGCAGTGGATGATCATCCTCCACTTCAGCAAGACCGTAGAAGAGTCGCGGCCACTAGAGGTCGGCGTTACGGACGCGGTTATGTTGCTCCACACGTCGACAATGATGATGGTGATGATGATAATCACGATGATGATAATGATGATGATGAGGAGGAGGAAGAGGATGACGAAGATGGTGGTGAAGAAGAAGGACAACCATCTTCACATATTCATTCACACATCCCTTCCTCATCTCATGTACCTAATCAATACTATACACCGACTAGTGCATACATTCCGACGTTTGATGCGCCTTCGTTTATTCCACATGTACAACCTACATATGAGACACGTCCCACCTTTTTAAATTCACCAAAATATTCCGGGTACAAAAGTGTACAGATTCCACTCACTTTAAATTAAATCAATCAACTTTTAATTTTTCTGACAGATTCCCTGTCACTTCGGGAATCAATAATTCTACACAACATTCAATTTTTTTTTCAACCACTTATTATTCGAAATAATTTCAACCACTTCTCCCAACCACTTGCACCCACCTAACCCCACTCCCAACTATCAATAATTTTGATCTAAAAAAAATATTCCGGGTACAAAAGTGTACAGATTCCACTCACTTTAAATTAAATCAATCAACTTTTAATTTTTCTGACAGATTCCCTGTCACTTCGGGAATCAATAATTCTACACAACATTCAATTTTTTTTCAACCACTTATTATTCGAAATAATTTCAACCACTTCTCCCAACCACTTGCACCCACCTAAACTCACTCCCAACTATCAATAATTTTGATCTAAAAAAAATATTCCGGGTACAAAAGTGTACAGATTCCACTCACTCTTTAAATTAAATCAATCAACTTTTAATTTTTCTGACAGATTCCCTGTCACTTCGGGAATCAATAATTCTACACAACATTCAATTTTTTTTCAACCACTTATTATTCGAAATAATTTCAACCACTTCTCCCAACCACTTGCACCCACCTAAACTCACTCCCAACTATCAATAATTTTGATCTAAAAAAATATTCCGGGTACAAAAGTGTATAGATTCCACTCACTTTAAATTAAATCAATCAACTTTTAATTTTTCTGACAGATTCCCTGTCACTTCGTGAATCAATAATTCTACACAACATTCAATTTTTTTTCAACCACTTATTATTCAAAATAATTTCAACCACTTCTCCCAACCACTTGCACCCACCTAAACCCACTCCCAACTATCAATAATTTTGATCTATAAAAGGCTCATCACTTGCACCCAAATCCTCAGTCACCATATTCTTGATATCTATTTATCACCTTAGAGTTCCTAGCTATCTATCATCAACTCCCTATATTTCCTACGATATTACTTACCATATACAAAAAAATGGCAACTGAGCATAAAACTCCAGTTTGTGTCCACTGGAATGGTTCTATTATTATGAAAGATGATGAAGTTGAGTATTCCATTCCTCCGAGCGCAGCGCTGTTAATTAGCAATGACGATGACTTTAACGCTATAAACGAGCGGATTGTCGAAGAGTGTGCGCAGAGAGGTTTTGAAGAAATTGTATCAATTCACGGAAAATTACCGAAGTACAAAAATCGTGTGTATGTGGCATCAAGACTGTGGCCCATCCATGATGATGATACTTGGAAGCACTTTTTCCGACTTGCTGAAAGAGAGTATGGAGAATTACATATTTTCCTGGATGCCCGAAGAACCTCTATAGTCCAACCACAAATATCAACATATGGAGGAGGTGACACCCACAATTGTGAAACCTTTCATAATATCCACTCCAACGATGACGGACCATCAACGAGATACGGCGGACGCTACAACCCGCATACCGTTGAACATGAAGATGGCCCTTCAACAGCATATGAAGAGGAAGAGGAAGATGATCCAGATTATGAACAATTTTCTGGAAATGACGATGCAACAACAAATTCTGACGATAGTGATGACGCTCATGACACAACATGGGCCGATATTGAGCTGGAACAACCATATGTTGAACCAGCGAATCGTGATAATGAAACTATTGCGGTCGGCAAAATATACGATTAATACGACTTACTGAAAGAAGCCGTAGCAATAGAAAATATTCGGCAATTTCGAATTTTTAAGACAGATGACAAACGTGTGAGATCGTGGAAGACAGTTTGCATCTATGATGACATGTGTATGTGGCACATTCAGGCGGGAAACCTTCTCAACACCAATTTGTGGAAGGTGAAAAAATATCAACCACTACACAACTGCAGAGTGGATTATAAAAGAGCCCGTAATGACAGGCTTATGACGAGCAAGATCATAGCGAGTGTAATCGCTACAAAAGTGCATGTTGATCCGGACTACAGCATTAAACTCGTGATGCAAGACATATACGACAAATTCAGAATCAATGTCAAGTACAAAAAGGCGTGGTATGGACGTTTGATTTCCCTTGAACGAAGATTCGGGAACTGGGAGGCGGCCTACAATGATTTACCCAATTTGTTGCTTGCGATAAGATAATCAAATCCGGGGTCAGTGGTAGATTTCCAACCAAAACCAACCAGTCATGATGGTACGTATGAATTTCATCGTGCATTTTGGGCTTTTAAAGCTTCCATTGATGGGTTTGAACACTGTCTTCCCGTAGTATCTGTTGACGGTACTCACTTGTACGGAAAGTTCAAGGGTCATCTCTTGGTTGCAGTCGCCATGAATGCTAACCGTGAGATTTTCCCTCTCGCGTACGCAGTTGTGGAAAGTGAAAACACAAATAGTTGGTCCTGGTTTTTGGAACACATTATGACTTATGTTGTCAGACCAAATCGGCATGTGTGCATAATATCAGATCGACACCCTGGCATCCTAAGTGCCTATCAATCAGTACCTCAATTGAAAACCTCCCAAGTTTCGAAGCGGTTCTGCCTCCGACACATTAGAAGCAATTTCATGACAAAATTCAGGAGCACTGAACTGAAAAGGCTCTGTTGGCAGGCCGGGAGTACACCCATGGTGAGTGAATTTTACCAAACAATGGCTCAAATTCGTGCTACGAATGAGAATGCGTTCACGTATTTGAACGCTATTCCACGTGAAAATTGGGCACTGTGCTTCGACGATGGACGACGTTACGGCATGCTCACAACAAATCTTTCTGAGAGCTTCAATAACGTTCTAAAGGGATGTCGAACACTTCCAATCACCGCGCTGGTTAAGGCAACTTATAACAAAGTTGTCCAACTATTTGCCGATCGACGTAGGGCCGGTCAGATGTGGCGGCAAGCTGGGTTCCTATATCCGCAAAATATATGGAAAGATATTCTTGAACGTTCACAGAAAAGACATCAGTGCACTATTGTCCCGCATAACCGAACAACGGGAATATACTCTGTTTCCATCCGTGATTATCCGCCGGTAACGGTAAATCTCTGACGTTGCGAATGTGATTGCGGTTTTTGGAAGCAAAATGGATTTCCATGTGTGCATGCCTATGCAACATGCCATTTCTTAGAAATAACTGTAGATCATCTCATCCCGGACGTGTATAAATTAGGTGCGTACATCCGTACGTATGCTACAGATATTATGCTTATGCATGACGTAAGTGCGATGCCTGATACCGGATATGTAGTGATACCGCCTCAAAGTGCTCGACGCAGTCAAACCGGTAGGCCTCAAAGAACACGATATACAAATGAAATTGATATGCGTCCGAGTAGGAGAGCACAAGAGTAAAAATTTATATGTATTTTGTAACTCTTTTTCAATGAATAAAAATTTGTATTTCTTTGTCATGTTGTTGTTCAAGATAAATGAGTAATGAAGTATTTATATTATTTAATTTTGCGGGAACATTGAATAAATTCGTAATACAATATAATTAAATATGTATATTCACTATTACAATCTCTAACATAACAATTGATTATTTCTTATTTAATAAAATAATACACATCTTTCCAACTATAAATATCACTAAATTATTTATTTTTGTACATATTATGCTTCATATGCTCTATTATTTATCCCACTCACAAATTTTTATTGAAATATTTGTGTTTTCCTCTTTGAAAAAAATGTAACTAACCAATCTAAAAAACCTAAGAAGTCTATTAAAAAAAATTAAAAAATTAAATAATTCATTTTTTTACTTTCCCTACACCTTCCGCAGCATCTTCCAGCAGTTTGCAAAAAAATTAAAACCAAATTTCGGATTCATGTAATCCGTTTTTTAACTCCCCACCTAAAGCCCTACATATTTCGGATTCATCTAATCCGTTTTTTAACTTCCCACCTAAAACCCTACATATTTCGGATTCATGGAACACGTTTCCTGTTTTTTTAGAAAACCTAGAAAAAGTCCCGTATTTCGGCAACCTATGTGCGGCACTCCCGTAAAAAAAGAAATCACCCACGACCGTCGTCTCTTCGAAATCTTGATTTCACTTTCTATACTAAGATCGATCTTACGTTCGTGGCTCTTCTAAATAATTTGTAAAGTTTTCCAAATCAAATCAACACTCTTTTATTGTATCTGTTTGTTGAATTTTTCAATTTTCTATTATATTCTAATTTGAATATTAGGAGTGTATAGAACCTTGATTGTAATTTCCCAATATGTGAATTTTAATTTTTTTTATTAGGTATCTCGGGATGATTTACCTTCATCGTCATCAAACCTAAAAATCTCCAAATAGAAATTCAATTGGAATGGAAGGAGTACATACATAGTTTATCTTCCCTTAAAACTTTGTCAACTTTCACTTTTTAGTTGCCACATTAGTTTTATCATTTTTTATTTCAATTAAAAAAATTGTGATTCCTTTTAATTCTCAAAACTCCACCTAGGGTGGGATTTTGGAACCGGGAACCGAACCGTTAAAACCCGGTTCGGTTCGGTTCCTACAAATGTGGTATTAATTGTTAACGGTTCGGTTCCTAGTTGTTACTAACGGTTCGGTTCCTGATTCTTATAAAAAATATGTGCACGGAACCGTTAAGGAACCGTTATTAAAAAATAAAAATAAAAATAATAATAGTAGTAGTGATAGTAATAACAATAATATCAACAATAAGAATAATAGTACAATCAATGATGTTTAGCAAACAATTCTAATTAACCAACGAAAACAAAAGTAATCAATATTGTAAATGAGCGTTGAGCTCATTTTTACAAATTAAGTTTTGTAACATCACATAATTTTATTAATATAAATAACTCAAATAACTTGTAGTTGATTGCATGTAATTTACTTCACTTGTTCATGATATTTGTAACTATTAGATTCATTTTAAATTA